AGGAGTGGAAAGTCATGGAAAGATATGATAGGACAAAGGGTTTGAGGAAAGTGTAGTAAACTGAGGGAAAATTAGCAAGACTTCTTGTTAACTTGGATTCTTCTGTATCCCTTCATCTTCAGAGGGAAGGATGCTCCCTTCCTCCAGGCATAGGGAGGGCACCTCTCATATGAAGGTTTTATCACCTGCGTAAGGGGGAAATCCTTGCACATTCCATTTCTCAAATTCCTTCAATTTGAAATTGCCATATTTGGGGGTGATAGCATGCCTTGGTGTAGCATGCCTTGAATCTCATCAGCCTCTTTTCACAGAGACATTCCATATCATCATTCTCAGATTTAGATGAATAAAATTTTTCTATTTTGTAGCAAAACTAGGAAAGGAAATTTAGAAAATTAAAATTAAACTAGCATACATTTCTAGTATCATTTTTATATGCTGCTAAAGTCAGGAAAGAAAACACAGGACAATTTTTGAAACAAGATTATCAAATCTGTCTAATTCATGAAAAGAGTCATCACAGTGGAAATAGAATGTGGACTTTTTTCAAATACAATTTGTAAACCTCTGTATTTATTTTTTTTTAATTTTTTAATGTTTTATTTATTTCTAGGAGAGAGAGAGAGAGACAGCTTGAGCAGGAGAGGGTCAGAGAGAGGGAGTCACAGACTCTGAAACAGGCTCCAGGCTCTGAGCTGGCAGTCAGCACAGAGCCCGACGCGGGGCTCGAACCCACGAACCGCGAGATCATGACCTAAGCGAAAGTCGGACGCTTAACCGACTAAGCCACCCAGGCGCCCCTAAACCTCTGTATTTATAAACCAAATTCCTAAAAGATTCCTTAAGTTATGTTTGAAAGCTCTGAATGTTCTTTTTTCTCTCTTATAACCTAGTAACCAGGGCAATTAGTTTAACTCTCAATTAAACCTTTAATCAAAAGCTATTTAAAATAAGAACATGCTCCTTTAGAACTTATAATCTGAATTTTTCTTTCAATGTGTTACATCTGTTTACCTGGACAATCTATTTCTAAGGTGTGTGTCCATAATAACTAGAATTGGTTTTTGATCAATTAATAAGTATTCTAGAAAAAGGAGAAAGAAAAGTAGGAATGTATAAGGGAGCTGTTTGCAGTGGATATGGAGTTAGTGACCACTAGAGAAGCCTAATTATCTTCCCTTTGCAAAGAAGGGGAAGGTCTTATGCAGACAAACCCATTTCAAAACATAAAAAAAGGGAAAGTGAGTCGTTATAAAGAATCTCAGGCCCTTTGACAATTCATTCAAGACAATTGATAAATCTTCGGATAAATCTCCAAAGAATAGAAACAAAGAAGGATGTTTCTTAAAATAAATTAAGTCATTCTCTTTTAGAAAGGTGACAGAGAACTTCCTCATGAGGATTTAACAAAAGAATTTTAAATTTTTTACATTTTTATTTAAACTTCATTTTGAAACTCTGCATAACAGTAAAAATGCTAATTACTGAATATTCAGAATTGTATTTCTGAAGAAAAATAAAACAAGCTAGAGTTATGCCAGGACTTACAACAATTTTATTATTAGATGAACCCATGAATTGGAAAAATATTGCTTATATATTATGTCTGAAGGGCTTAGCACTAAGACTGAATCCCTAACAGCTGACCCTAAAAATCAGCAGGAATGGTTAGAGAAGAGATCCCTCCCAAAGCCAATTTCTCAAACATAAACAAAGAAAAGTTCTTACAGACACACAAGAATTTAGCCAAATAAGCTACATCGTGTTTGTTGACAAAGATGAGTAGTATCAAATCAATGCTTTAACACACCTTCACAAGGAAAACAAAAATTTGTACAGATTTGATCAAATAACCAAACAGTCCTGGGAACCTTATTCTTACAACAAACAAAATAGATATCAGTTGTCTTCAGGAGCTCAACAAAAAAGGATCAGGCCTTAAGGAAGTGCTGGACTTATCATCATAAAGAATCTCTGGAACAAAGAGCCTCGAGACTTCAGTGAAGTCCAATGTAACTAATATGCGAATACTCATAGGAAGAGGTCTTGTCTGTGTCTTGGTGGGACCTCAAGGAATATCAAAGTCTTGATACAACAACCATCAGGGAAATTTGTTGATCATACAAAGCTGTACAAAAATTCCTGAGTAAGGGAGAGCATCACATCACCATGGCAGAGTCCCAGCAGTGCCACAGAAGGAGGATATTACAGAAGGGTATTTACAGAATTTTGAGAACTGAGGTTGGTCATGAGAACTGGGGGTGGTTTTAAGGCAGAAGTTAGTAAGTGAAGTCTAGCCAAAGACTGGTCAGATTTTATAAAATAGGTGAGTTGCTGAAATAGTCTTATCTTTGGAGCACATGAGTCCATGTGGAGTTATCATGGTCTCAATTTGTCCATGATCTTGGGGTAGATAAGTCTTTTTATCAAGTTTAACAAGTTTATGTTAAAAAATTTGACTTAAGATAGTTGTTTGAGTTACATGTCATGGTTTAGTACAGTTTCTCTATTATACAAATAATAATACAGTTTTGCAAGTTGATGTTTCAGTTTTATTTCTCAAAAGGAAAGAGTTTGTAGGTATGATAGCCAATTATAATGATTTACAGACATTTAGACACTGAATATCAGAAATGAAGGGATAGAGTCAAGGAGGAAATGTTATTAGGATGTTCTTAAGATTGTGATCTTTGGGAAGATGGTGGACTACAAAAGGAAATAAAAAGAATCAAAGTTTAAATGTTTGAAAGACAGTAGCACCATTAATAATAACAGAAACAGGAAATTGAAATTAAATATATGGTAGTCAGGAAAATAACAAGGTATGGAGATAATGGATTATGTGTTGTTTTACTTTGGGTTTTTTTTTTTCTTTTGTATTTTAACTGTGACAGATTTCAGGCATCATTCCAAAGATGACCAGATATATAAGATAACCAAAAAATAAGATTCACTTTTTTTTCTTAAATAGTTTATTGTCAAGTTAGTTTCCATATAACACCCAGTGCTCATCCCAGCAAGTGTAAGATTCACTTTTAAAAGGAAATATTGTGAATTTATTCTGGTATATTCAGCATTATACTCCCATTCAGTTCTGTTTTTCCTTGAAAAATACTTGAAATGCACTGTAAATCCCACACCCTCATTTAACTAGGTATTATTTCATTATGTCAGTTTTACAGATAAATGACTAGTTCTCCAATGATCTCTAATGGTTCTGTTATTTCTAGAACTGTTTGCAGCAAAATAACAGAAAGGAACTTGAATAGCAAAGAAAACACCCTAAAAACAGGGCTCTTGTTTAGTTGGTCAGTACCCTTTTGTGGGAAAAAAAGAATTATATAACCATATAGTTTTCTTTCTGAAGCAACTTGCTGATTAATGGAGTTAAAGAACTGTAAGTCATGGCCTTTATAAAATTATAATGACTTCAATAACTGTGTGTTAATTAAGATCAGAAAATTAATCTATATTAGCACTGCAATAGCAATTTTCCAAGCTCTGCCAGACTAAGGATGAAAGTGGGTTGCAATGTCACATGGCATCTGATTAAGTTAAATTAATGCAGTATTTGAAGGGAAGACTCCCAGGTGACACTAAGATGATCAGAGTTTTTCGCTAGCTATTTTAAGAGGAAAGTTGATTGCAAAGCTACTGCTTTTCTAACATAAAGCCAAAGGTCCTGCCACATGGTATCAGAATGAAGATTGAAGGGTCTAGGGGTTATTGTTTGGGAGAACTGAGATATGAAGCTCTAGGTATTGGCCATATTAACAGGCTAAGTATCTAAAACGTGCACACTTGCCTTCAACTTCCTAAGATAATATTCCAGATTTTCTCACTCCCAAGATGTATTTTTATTCATGTTGTATTTCTAAAATCAAGGTGCATCTTAAAATTGATGTATAAATTAAAGTTGTATGTTGGTGTGTCTGCATATGTTAAGGACCCCTTCTCTTAAATATGTTATAATCTGATCTAAATCTGTATTCACATTATAAGCTAATTCCATCTATACCAGCATCTAGGAATAAAATATGAAAATAATTGGGGTAAAATAGGTGCCCTTTAAATGTCATTTTTCATGAAGGAAGATAATCATATTTATTATATATTTACCCACATTAACTGAGTGTTCATTACTTCAGTCAATCCTAACAACTACTTTTCAAGGTGGTTATCATTACTATATGTTATAAATAAGAACATTAAGGCATAATGTGTTTAGGTAACTTGAATTGGAATGTCTGAATCCCAAGCCCTTCCTACTATACCACACTGCCTCACTGAAACCTCCTAAGTTTCCAATAAATTTTTTCATAGACATAATGGTAGATGTCTTTTTTTCATAGACATAATGGTAGATATTGAATCTCTAAAAGGTGATTCCATTCAGAGTCATAGGATAATTGTGCATAGTTCTAGTTAAGTATTACTTGTTTAAATTTGCTAGTAAAGAGACAAGACACCTGTCTCCCTCTCTTTCAAGTAAGTTAAACTTCTTTGATACTGTTGATCCCACTTCAGAGAAGAGATCAGAAAGCTTATTTATAAACAGTTGTTTATATTTTCTTCGGACTTGAGAATATCATGTCACAAAGTCCTTACCTCAGATGTTCTCAGTGAAAGACAAACTGGAAAAGAATATTGGGAGGGGAAAAGAATGTTGTTTTATTTAGTTTGCCCCTATGAGCAACCACTGGAAATGCCAATCTACAAACCACTATTGTCAAATTATAACCAACGCAGGTGTGATATTTGGCCTGCTGTTTAGTCACCATTAAATTTCTATGTGCTTTTGAATTCTGGAGGAACTTTTTTTTTCCAACCTCCTATACACCCTATTCAGGGACCCTTTGAGCTTGTATCTTCTATGTGCCAGATACTGTTGTAGGTGTTAGATATGCTAACCTCTGCTTACTAGATCTATTTCTTTCCCATTAACCATAAGCAACATTATCCTAAGAGAATAATTTGTGGTGATTTTTTTGGCTTTGTAGCTGCTAAATCCTGAAGATGACCTCTTACCAGGAAAGATTCGAGACAGCAATCGATCAACCCTCTTAGCAACAATTCAGGAACATGGTTACCCCACAATCAACTTGGGAATTGTGGGAGACAAGTAAGTATTGGATATTATTTGGAAGTTGTTTGTACGAATTTGAATTTGGGAGTAGTAACTAAGTAGAATTGTTGCTGAAGAGACAGAAATTTAATACAATAATTTCCACTAATCTCATTCTTCAGAAGCCAAAAAATTATGGACATGTCTATGTCCTTTGGGGACAGACATTTACCTCAAATGCCTATTACAACAGGAGAAATACTTTTGCTCTCCTTTAGGCATGTTAAGTTTACAGGGATCTTTTTTGATAGCATTGGCTTTACTCTAATGGAATTAATGGTGATGGTATTTCTATTCACACGCACTTGTTTCAAGAAAGGCAGGAAAGGGGCGCCTGGGTGGCCTAGTCGGTTAAGCATCCGACTTTCGCTTAGGACATGATCTCGTGGTTCGTGGGTTCGAGCCCCGCGACAGGCTCTGTGCTGACTGCCAGCTCAGAGCCTGGAGCCTGTTTCAGAGTCTGTGACTCCCTCTCTCTCTGACCCTCCCCTGCTCACTCTGTCTCTCTCTCTCTCTCTCTCTCTCCTAGAAATAAATAAAACATTTAAAAAAAAAAGAAAGAAAGAAAGGCAGGAAAGGGGCGCCTGGGTGGCCTAGTCGGTTAAGCATCCGACTTTCGCTTAGGTCATGATCTCGCGGTTCGTGGGTTCGAGCCCCGCGTCGGGCTCTGTGCTGACTGCCAGCTCAGAGCCTGGAGCCTGTTTCAGTCTGTGACTCCCTCTCTCTCTGACCCTCCCCTGCTCACTCTGTCTCTCTCTCTCTCTCTCTCTCTCCTAGAAATAAATAAAACATTTAAAAAAAAAAGAAAGAAAGAAAGGCAGGAAAGACATGGGTAAGAAGATTAAAAAAAAAAAAAGAATGTCAAAATTATCACTAACTGCTCCTCTGTAGTTTTAAGTACAGTTGTTTTCTAGGACTTTTATATTAATTATTATAGCCTTATGTAACCCAAGTTTCTCCAGGCTTCATTCACCCATCTATAAGTACAAAAGGAGGCACATTGACTAGAATTGCCCATCTCTAAGAGCATATTACCCCATATTCTAAATTAACTTAGCCCTCTGCTAAACTCCCCAAGGATTTCTGTAACCTTCCAACCTGTGATCAAGATCAAGTCCACTTTTTCTGAACACCCCACTACCATGCAGCACTGCCACACAGCCCTCTCTCACCAGGATTTCCAGTTCACAAGAAACATGCCTACTTTTAGTAATACTGAAACATCAACCTGGTGGAGACAAAGCTCAGAGACAAATCTAAGTGATGGATAGTTTGATGTGTCGGTCACCCATAACTGCCCCTTTCTCTCTTATAAGCACCTTGTCACTGAGTAAAGCTTATTATATCTGGAGCTTTCTTCCCCAAGACAAGGTAAGAATTTCCCAGCAAATGTACTTTTGAAGAGGCTCCACCTTACCATTTCACAGAGTATGCTCTGATACCTACACCCCAGTTTAAGCTCAAACTGGACACAACACAGTCCAAGCCTTAGACACAGCATTTTGCCAATAACATGAAAAGGAGTTGCTTTTATGTTCTTTCACCTTTCAAAGTTCTCTTCTTTCTCCTAGTTTTTTTCTTTCTCTGAGAATATTGGAATATTTTCAAATGTCATTGTTTTTAAAATCGTCACCTTTGTATTAACTTGGATGCTTAGTTCTAGAGATGCCCATAGATAAGTAGCCAGCCAACTGAGAACTCATGCTGGTGAAGACAGAGTCACAGGTTACTTAGTATCTCTTTGACCCAGGCTCCCTAGCCTTTGGAAGAGAGTAGAAATAACCCACTGAAAAAATGGGGGGGGGGGGGTGCAGGGGGATGAGTGGTTACATGAATTTGAACCTGACCGTTAACCTGTCCTTTTTTTTAACTTTTTTTTTAAAGTGTATTTATTTATTTTGAGAGAGAGAGAGAGAGCACTGGAGGGTAGAAGGAGATAGAGAATCCCAAGCATGCTTCGCACTATCAGTTCTCCAAGCCTGATACAGGGCTCCAACTCAAAAACCCATGAGATCATGACCTCAGCCAAAATCAGGAGTCAGATCTTTAAACAACTGAGCCACCCAGGCATCCCTAACCTATTGTTTCATATAAATTTCAAGCACCCAAAAGTTATCCTGACATAGGTACACCTTTACAGAAGACAAAAATTAACTTCCCAAAAGAGATAAGAGGAACCCAAGAGTTCCAAAAGCACAGAGTAGGTCCTGAAACTCTAGGGAACCACTCACCAGATTGTTTAGGATTTGTTTCCCAGCTATAACTGGCTCTGGCCTTGCCTACAAGTATATTAATGGGCTCTAAGAAATAGTATAAGGTAACAAAATAAGCACTATTGTGTGTATGTCATTTTTACCTTGAGCTTTTCTAATCCTGTTCACTCTTCCTATTTTTGCATTTTTGTATATAAAAATAAATGCTTACTTGATATACTGTATATGCTGCCATTACACCATTGAAGGCCTCGTATGTTGATATGCTAATATTTAATTGTCTGAGGCCCTCACTGTTGATTTATCATAGACATTTACTAATAATATCGATATTACATGTAACTCCAAAATGTTCTTTGAAAACAGCACATAAAGAACAATAAAACTATAAGCAAGATATAGGCAGTTCTGAGAATATACCAATCTCTAGTGCATATCCTTTTCTTAAATGGAAATAAGTTCCAGAAAACTGAGAACCATTTTTAAAAAATACAATACAAATCTAGACTTTCTGCTATATTGAAGAGGGTTAAATGGTAAGAATGCAGAGGTGGAATGTGGGTGGAAAGAATTTATAACTGTTCTAATGGAAATGTGTGCTGGGAATTTAGCAAAGGAAACAAGGTACATTTAATCTGCAGCCTGTTGATACTCTGTGAAGGCTGCCTCCCTCTTCATTCTTCTGGATCCTATGTAGCCTTTTGCTAATGAAAGCAAATGTTATACAGAAACCTCTCTGTGAAGCTCTCCAGGGAAACAAGGGTCATGGGAGAAACTACACTTTCTTTAAAGCAGGGAGAGAAATAGCTCAAAAATGTCAGTAAGCCCAGAACCCCTACTCAGTTGTGACAGATAAGAGTAGGGTGTAAGAGCTCTATTCTTATATTTAAAATAAGGTTGGAGTCTGGTTTTTAAATTCTGTGATTCTACTTCTCAGCTCTTATTCTTATCACCATAATTATAATGATAAATGTTAAAATTGTAGAGTAAGACTCTATAACTTATTTATGTTAAATTAGGTAGAGTTTTTCCTTTGTTTATTGTACATTTTATTTAAAAAGGGGGTACAGTGAAAATTATGGGAGGGGTGCTTCAAATACCTGAGAGTTAACAACTGTATTTTAAAAGCATTCACTTATAAATATTTTGTGTGTATTAAAATATATTCCATGACATAGTTTCTCACAGCATGTGGAACACAATACTGTTGGAGTTCCTAGCAGTTTTTTTTTAAAAAAATAAAAAAAAATTTTGAAACGCAGAGATGTTAAATGAATTTGCACAGCGTTATGCAAGTTAGTGGCAGAGGTGAAAATGGAATCTAAGTCTTGAAATTTAACAATCTGCAATTCTTTCGTATCATTATGAAGACAAGATAATAACTACACATATGTCAGAAAGGAATCATAACTATGCACTACAGTGGTCAGTTTTTTTTATAAAGTTGCACTGTTAGCTAAAACATGAAGGATGAATAGAATTTGTATAGTTAGAAAAAGAGTGTGTTAATCAAGTAGGAAACATGCAATGAATAAAAAATAGAAAGGTAGAAAATAAAATACAGAAGTAAAAGTAAACAGCTAGCTACTCAAGTCAGGCCAGAATGATTAAAACAGGAGGTTTAGGTAGAAGGATAATGGAGTTCAGTTGGGTAGAAATTTGACCCCAGACTTTGAAAGGCTTTGCAATCCAGGCAGAACTACCCAATTAATTTATATTTGAAGCTTTTTTAAAAAGCAAAATTGACATAATAACCATTATTTTACAAAGATAATTTGACCAAGGTATATCACATGGGCTAAAGTTGGAGATGGACTAGGTATAAGAACAACACAATTTGTTTATTCATTGTTTAGCCAGTCAGGAAGTATTGGTTGTGTACCTATGAGAATCACCTACAGATCTTATTAAAAGTGCAGATTCTGGGGCACTGTGTGGCTCAGTCAGTTAAGCGTCCAATTCTTAATTTCAGCTCAGGTCACCATCTTGTGGTTCATGAGATCAAGCCCATGTTGGGCTCTGCACTATCAGTGCAGTATCCTGCTTGGGATGCTCTCTCTGCCCCTTCTCTTTTCTTTCTCTCTCTCTCTCAAAAATAAACATTTTTTAACGCTGATTCTGATTTAGCAAATGTGGGGTGGGCCAAGATTTTGCATTTCTAACAAACTCCCAAGGATACCAAGCTGTTGGTCCATGGATCACAGGAAATAACAAGGAGTTTTGTCAATTTGATCATGCATCTACTATGAATTTTAAGACAAAGGCTTTTGAAGATACAAAGCTGAAACAGAACCTACATCTTGCCTTTGAAATTACATGTACTAGAAATGTACTAGAAATTATAGACTAGTAATATAAATGTTTTTATAAAGTTCCAGAACTTAAACTCACATTTGAAAGTAGAATTTTTTAGGGGCGCCTGGGTGGCTTAGTCGGTTAAGCGTCCGACTTTCGCTTAGGTCATGATCTCGTGGTTCGTGGGTTCGAGCCCCGCGTCGGGCTCTGTGCTGACTGCCAGCTCAGAGCCTGGAGCCTGTTTCAGTCTGTGACTCCCTCTCTCTCTGACCCTCCCCTGCTTACACTGTCTCTCTCTCTCCTAGAAATAAATAAAAAAAAACATAAAAAAAAAAGAAAGTAGAATTTTTTAAGAGATTAAATCAAAGACATTGTGAAGGTTATTACATATAACAAAAGAATGTCAGTGTTAATTTATCTTCATCTGGATTACAAAGCCTCATCAAAATGGTATCTGACTATAAACACAAAAAAGAAAAATGCCTACAA